AGCTGATACAGAGTGACAAAAAGCTTCACCAAAAAAGTCTAATTTATTCTTTTGGCCTCTGTGCACACCTGAGCGTTTTGTCGCAATAAGCAAAACGCCTGTCGCTGGAAAAAGTGCATGAGCTCCTTTGGGGCAAATCTCCTCTCATTTTGGCCTAACAGACGCAATAGGAAACGCTTGAAAACTTGCATAGCATTTAGTTTTCCGTGTTTTTGCTCGTGGTTTGTCCATTTACTTCAATGTGTCACAATCTGGAGGGTAAAAAATGCAGGTATTTAATGTATGTGTGTATAGCAAAACGTGAAGCAAAAAGAAAAAAAACCTGCACATTTTCACTCACAAAAACGCTGTCACTTAGTTGTGAATCAGGCCTTAGGTCTGTAAAGCACCACAGTGCAGAAAGGCTGATCTGGATAGCTACGCCAAGACCAGCACAAGCAGCAGTAAAGCGGGGAATCCTAATTGAAGTTAATGGAAGAAGAAATCCACAAACAAAATGGAGTAAAAGAACTGTATTTTTCAGCAATCGATTGTGCTAAATGGGTGACCACAGCAAAGTGCTAAAAATAAGTCAGCCTCGGCAGAAAATCCAATCGTAATCGGGCAAAGCAGATCTTTCTACGTTGAGCCAAACTATTGCATTCAAGCAAAAGATTGATCAAATTTAGTGATCTGACTTGGTTCACAACTAGCGTTTTGAGATTTTGCTTTTTCTGCCCTAAAAAACACTCAAAAAATATGCCCAAAATAAAATCCGATTAATTTCTTTGGGCATGTTCACATCTGAGAGTGTTGTCACTTGTAGCAAAACGCCCATCGCTGGAAAAAGTACACAAGCTTCTTTTTGGCAGTTTAAGGCCCGGTTCACACCTGGGCGTTTTTATTTCATATGGGTATGGTTCACACCTGAGCGTATTACAGGCCGTATGAACACGCTACAAAACGTCCTATGCCCAAAGAAGTACAGGAGCTTCTTTGGGGCGTTTTTGCGCGTTTCCATTGGGGTACAGTCAAGTAGCCCTCGGAAACGCGCGTGTTTGTTTTTTACTGCGAATAGCGCAACTAACGCGCGACAAACGCGCATATTCGATACGCCTAGGTGTGAACCCAGCCTAAGGGCTTCTTGGCCACATAGACTTCAAATGCAAACGCTTGAAAATGCGGGTTTGCTTTGTTTTTGGCGCGTTTTAGGCACCCCTGCTCGTTTATATCAATGTGTCACAATCCGCTCACAAAAACGTGTGACTTAATTTATGTGCAGAAAACTAGTGCAGAAAACGTGCAGCATAAATGCGCATAGAAACTAGCAAAAATACTGTCGCCTAGGTGTGAACCCAGCCTAAACCAAAAAACAAATTGTCTGTGGCCATCATCGTAACACTTATTAACAGAAGCATTTCAGGCCTGGACAAATCCTCCTAAAATATCAGATTGATCAGTGGCGTAACCAGAGTTATGGGCGCCCGGGGCAGAACATTTTTTTCGCCCCCC